CACCTCCGAATCATCTTTAGTGAGTCTACTCCTGGACTTTGGGCCACCTCCGAATCATCTCTAGTGAGTCTACTTTGGACTTTAGGCCACCTCTACAATAGAGTGTTAGCCATTACCTCATCTTTTGAAAAGCAAGTTAGAGACTGTTGTTTATGAGAATCCTGTTTATCAGAGGACGTTGTTGCTTGGTCTCTGTTCAGGTCATCGCACACGTAACATACAAGGCTCCAGCAATGCTCCAACCCAGAAATTAACTTGTTATTTGAATATGAACTTTATATCGTTATTCGTATGTTATATTTCATAGCGTTAATACAAAAAGCCGACGGCGGGTGGTCAGCGCGTGGTCCTCTCGAGTTGTAGTTGAGGCGCCCGCGCGCTTTCTTAGTGCACTTCCAGTGCCGTTCCTTAATCGGCTTTTACATCACCCACGGATAATGATGATGACAAATGTTTTCTTACCGGCGAATTCGGTAAACAAAGTTTGGAATCCCATTATAAAAATACAGTTAAACTTATATGCAGAAATTACGGTTGTAGAGTTCAATCAAATACTTTAAGTAATTAAGTTATCTACTGTTTGCAACTATTTAGTGCTTGCAAGTATAAATACTGAGGAACGGGGCCAAAAGAATGTAGTCCTAATCAATAGATAGAAAACATAATACTTAATAAAACTTTGCTCAATTGATAATCTACTTTTGTCCAAGATTTTATTGTATTTTTCCATTGACGTTTGTATAATTGTAACCACAAGCAATCATGTCTAATTAGCTATTATGTAAGACCAGTTTCAGCCCGCGGCTATTCTCGCGTAAAAGGTAAGGTATGTAGCTGTATTCATGAATTCATGTACAACAAAAAATAATAATAAACAAAATATATTTTGCGTTTGAAATAATAGTAGGTAAATGTTACAAGAGTCGTGGTGGCCTGGAAGTTTCGGGTATCGTGCAAGAGAGTTTTTTTTTAAAGGGGGAAACTCATCGAATGACTGCTCCCGCCTGGGTGAGGCGGAAGGGAGTGTCAGACTCTTACTGACTAAAAACCACCCCGGTCCTTCTCCTGCACTAGTTATAATATGTACTTTCTATGATAACTTACATACCAATGACAAAAGGTGAAGGAAAACATTGTGAGGAAATTTAAGCTTATAATTTCTAATTATAAGTTTGCATCACCAACTCGCATTGAGCAAGCGTGGTGATGCTCAAACCTTCTCGTGTGAGAAGAGGCCTTTGATCAGCAGTGGCCACTTATAGGCTGTTGATTCAATGTGATGTGTGCTATAACGCGTTTTAATATTTTGATATATTTACACCTTATTGTTCTTTGAAGGAATGGAAAGAAAGTGTGAAAGACAGCCCCTTTTCACAAGTTGTCGCGGAGAACCTAACGGGTTACCGGGGCTCCGGCTCGACGTGCAGGAGAAGGAACGGAGTGGTTTTTAGTCAGTAAGAGTCTGACACTCCCTTCCGCCTCACCCAGGCGGGAGAAGGCATTCGATGATTTCCCCCCCTTAAAAAAAAGCACCTTCTCACAATTTATTGCAATACTAATTTCGGTTCTAGTTTCCATTTTTCTAAATATCGTGCAAGGCTACCAATATCAGTAACTTGCTAATGATGCGAGAATCGAACCCGAGACCTCGAGCTTTGGAATCCACATACAGATACTCGGTCAATATAATTCTAATTGAACATACCTACCTCTATATCTATTTAATATGATGCCTATCACAAATATCATAAAATCATACCCAGTATTGTTCTGGACTCGAAGAGAGATTTTTAACCAATTTTGTTAATGGTTGGTTGCACTAACCACACCGTGGTTACCCACGTGACAGACGTACACACTGAACAAACAAACATAATTTGATTAGGTAGGTAATTATTTCTTTTGTTTGCTAGTCGTCCTTTGTTTTCTATATCTCATTTGAAAAATTGAACTCAGATAATATAATATGTAAAAATATGTCGTGGTGGCCCGAAAGTTTATGGTGGTTCTAATGCATGAGAGTATGGGTTTCATAACCTACCAACGGCAAGTACCAATGTGACTTTTTCCGAGTTATATGTACTGTCTAAGGTTATCGAGAGACCACTGACAAACGGTGAAGAAAAACATGATAAGGAAACCTGGGCTTATAATTTCTAATCATAAGTTTGGAATCGCCAACCCGCATTGAGTAAGCGTGGTGATTAATGCTCAAACCTTCTCCGTGCCGTGAGAGAAGATGCTTTTGGTCATCAGAGGCCACTTATAGGCTGTTGATGATGATGATGAATATAACGTGTCGTGTGGTGACGGCAGGCAGAATCCATTGTCCCCAGCACCACTGTTACTTTATCCATGGGTATGAGAAACATACAATGGATATTTGACAGGGGCTGGACTCCAAGGCTTTTGAGTAAACCTGACTTTCTTAAAAATTAAATAGTCCACTTCCCTCTTCGTCTTGCATGAAGAAGACATGTATAGTACGGAGCCGCGGAAGGCCTGACGGGTTGCCGGGGCTCCGGCTCGAAGAGCAGGAGTAGGAACAGGGTGGTTTTTAGTCAGTAAAAGTCTGACACTCCCTCTCGCCTAACCCAAGGTGGGAGAAGTAAGTGGATGATTTTCCCCGCTCAAAAAAAACCCTAGCCAGTCCATACAACGAAAACAGCGGTGTCAAGTTGTAAAAATGAAAATCTAATACCTTTTATTATATGACTTTAATACCTATAGTAAAGCGAAATTGAAGGGCCATAATCCCAATGTATCATTTACTTGGTCCGCTAAAACTATTAGGCCTGCGGATTTAAGTATCACTAAATCGCATAAATACTTTACTGCTTTCGGAAATGAACCTAATACCTCGGCTTAAGAATTGCAATACCTATGCGACGATTAGATACGAACATAGATCAAGGCTCACTTTTCTCCAGTTACGTTTTGGGTTCTATAGTTTGATAAGAAATCCGTCCTATTAATGGAGACCTTTTCTAAAATTAAAAAAAACGGTTAAATTTTGGGGACACAATAAGTAATACTTTTCAAAGTCGAAGTCAAAATCATTTATTTCAATTAGACGAGAAAGTCACTTTTGAACGTCGACAAAAAATTAAAAGTGAAGCTATTGCTCATTCCAAGGTGTAGATGCCTTTGGAGAAGAACCATAGGTTACTTGCTTTCAATCAGGTTCAACCCTAGACAGCCGACCCATCACTGAACTATAAGCCTCATCTACACATTACATTTCACATCAACAGCTTATAAGCGGCCACTGATGACCAATAACCTCTTCTCACATGCAGAAGAATTGAGCATTAATTACCACGCCTGCTCATTGCGGGTTGCTGATTTTAAACTATGATAAATTATAAGTCTAGGTTTACTCTCGATGTTTCCTTCACCGTTTGTCAGTGGTGTCTAAATAATCTTAGGAAGTACATATAACTCGGAAGAAGTCATATTGGTACTTGTTGTTGGTAGGCTTTCCACCCTGTACCTTCATGCATAAAAAGCGGGCTGCGTCTGCAATCTCCGAAGCACTACGACATCTTCGACTTTCAACTTCGACCAGTGACAATCTACAGCTGTACTATTCAACTTCTTCTACATAAGAGTGTTTACCATTCTCATCTCTTCATTATCTCTAATACATTCTTGCTTGGCAGGTAATCTCCATCCCGTATGACAACCGGGAGAAACATGTAAGATTAAGATTATGTAAGAGATAATGACTAAACTAATCAAATACAATTAATTACAACGTTCTAAATTGAACTACATGTGTAATTATAACCCACATTCACCATTGATATTATATTATGGTGCGGAAATCCAACTGTTCTTTATACGCCACTACGATTAAGTACGAGTTTGTATATATAGAAAACAAACAAAATTAGTGATACATGACATTTCAAATACATGCCATCATGTATTTATAGCTCAAAGCCATGTGAACACTTTTACATATTTAAACTATTTTTACTAGATACTTAAAGTAATAGACGAAGAATTGAAAATACAAAAACATACGAAGCAACGTAATTATTGTATACAGTAGGTACCTAAGTAGCATTTGTTATAACATGCAGTTATATACAACACAAAGTGTTTATGGGAGAACTTCATTCATGGTTACGTATAGTTACATAAGTGAACTGGACGTGGATAGCCGGACTATCATAATATCAAAATAATTACGTGGCTGTATGTGTGATCGTTTTAATGATTCTAGGCTTTTTAAATTCCGAGATACTTACTTGTTTTGGTTCGCCACACTTGATGCTTGGAGAGGCCTATGTCCAGCGGTGGATGGAAAATCTTTACTTGCTTTCTTTTCTTTTCTTAAAAAACTTTGCCCCCTTTTTAGTGATGATGACAATGACAGTTAAAATGAATGCAGATTTTCTTTGAACCTTCAAAATCTTTTCAACGTTATCATTGCAAGGACATTCGTCAAAATACATGAATGAAATGATTTATAACTTTGACAATGTATGATTTCAAAACCTTTAGGATTGTGTTCAGGACAACTTCAATTTCCCGGAATAAATAGTATATGTACGCTTTGTATTTGTCATCTATTTTGTCCGGACAGAATATCTCAATCTGTCACAGTCAACAAAATCTGAAATCATTTTTAGCGTGTTCAAGTACAATTAAAAGATCGCGTTTCAAAAACAGAAAATAAAATGTAAAACTGAGGTAATTATGTTCATAGTACTTAGATTAAGAAACCTAGCCGGCTTCGACGACAATCGTATATGTGGTAAATATTCTGAAATCATATTTAGTATTATGTCCGTAGATAGACAAAATTTTAATTACAAACTTATATTATCAATACAAAATAAACCGCATGGAGTAGGGGATTTGTACATTCACTGTCATATAAAAGGCTTCGGCAATGGAGACACCTCATAAGAGTAGTTTCGTTCGTTCCGTCGGTACCAGGAGAAGCGGAGAAGGCGCGACCTTTACAGCACCTTCACTCCCCACGCATCATGGCTTCCCGATTAGCCGTGAGTAACATCACTATTCACGCGAGTTTGCGAACTACTTCCGACTCGGGCGCAGCGGACGTGTCACGTGTCGATACATCGCACCCATCAATGTGATCTATCGATATCGATTGGGAAACAAGTGTCATATTGATAAAGCTTCACGTTTGTGGATTGTGGATCAGTAGTTCATTGTTATTAAAACATTTTATTTCAAGTAAAATCACACAGAATTTAGGAGTGTTTTTTACTTTAAAAAAATCTAAACATTCCGTTGCAATAAGTAAAAAGTCCTACAAAAATAACGAGTAATTAGAGAGAAACATGTTTGATATGTGTGGACGGATTCAAGAGGTCTCATTAGAGAGTTTTGATTACGAAGTGCAAGTTTATGTAACGCGATTGTTATGAGACCTGCTACACACATCCGACGAGATTACTGTAACAGCCCACATCTGCGGCACCACACTGCGCTGACCACTTTCATTTTGATATTTAACATATCTACACAGTAATCAGGGAACAGGGTGCATTCACAAACGTGCAGTAATTATATGTTATTACAGCAATTATGCAAACTAAATGGATATTTACGTTATAATTTCAGCTGAGCTGCTTTCTACTGGCTAGCGTTGGCGTCTGCCTGGCGACTTTTGGACATGAACAGTTAGTATATACTATGTTCCCTTATCTTGGAAGATTTATCGAAACACAAGTAACACGCGGTAGTATCAGTGATAGAACTATTATTTACGCTACCAGTCGATGGAACCGCAAAAAATATTGTGGATGGAGCAATTTGGTTGAGATTTCTATAACGATTCTCACGCTTCTTCATTGCGGTAAATGGTGAAAACTGAGCTATTGTGTTATAATGATAGAGCTACACTACACCCTTGCACTAGGTTTTCACTGTACCACGTTTGACCTGTTGGCTTTGCGATCTATTGTTCCTCATTTCTTATTTCATTACTGTCTATGTACAGGTGCTGTTGCATGTAAATATAACGATGCGAACATTTTGGAAAAATGAAATTAACAATATTTGTTTGTAGTACATAAATAACAAGTGTTTGTATTTGTTTCAGTGTTCATATTCGGGTGCATATACCTGAAGAGCATCACTCTTCCAAAGAAGTGGTAATACATGAAGACCACGGACACGGCGGCGGCGGCGGCGGCTATGGAGGCGGTGGAGGCGGAGGCTTCGGGGGCGGACACGGAGGTGGCCATGGGGGTGGTCACGGCGGCGGTGGCGGCGGAGGCCATGGAGGATCTCTTACTGACCACCTGCATGGAGGCTTCGCCGACTACTTGAAAGGTGGTGGAGGCCACGGAGGTGGCGGCCACGGTGGTCACGGTGGAGGCTTCGGCGGTGGCTCTGGCGGAGGATTCGGAGGTGGACATGGCGGTGGCCACGGAGGACACGATTTTGGAGGAGGATACGACTTAGGTGGTCATGGAGGCGGCGGTGACTTTGGAGGACATGGAGGTGGTGACTTTGGTGGGCACGGCGGCGGTGATTTCGGAGGCCACGGCGGCGGTGACTTCGGTGGACATGGAGGTGGGGACTTCGGTGGACATGGAGGTGGGGACTTCGGTGGGCATGGCGGCGGAGATTATGGCGGACACGGCGGTGGTTTAAGCGGAGGATTCGGCGGCGGCCATGGAGGAGGCTTCGGAGGTGACTTAGGTGGTGGCCACGACGACCATGGTCACGGCGGAGGACTGAGCGGTGGATTCAGCGGCGGGTTCGGCGGTGGATTTGGCGGTGGTCACGGAGGTGGCGGTGGACATGATGACCATGGTCATGGCGGCGGCTTTGGAGGAGGCATCAGCGGAGGTATAGGAGGCGGCTTCGGAGGTGGCTTCGGAGGTGGCCACGGAGGTGGTGGTGGCGGCCACGACGAACATGATCATGGTGGTTCCTTCGGAGGTGGATTTGGAGGAGGTTTCGGAGGTGGTCATGGAGGATCAGGCGGCGGTCATGGCGGTGGTCAAGGAGGTGGTTTCAGTGCTAGTTTCGGAGGTTTTGGAGGCGGAATTGGAGGAGGACACGATGACCACGGCAGCAGCTTCTCTGGTGGACATGATAGTTACAGTGGAGGAGGTGGAGGTGGATATTCATCTGGAGGCCACGGCAGCTCAGGTCTAGGAAGTTTCGGTGGTCACGGAGGAGGTAGCGACAGCTACAGTATCGGTAGCCATGGAGGCGGTGGCGGCGGAGGTGGCCATGACAGCTACAGCATCGGAGGTCACGGCGGCGGCGGTGGCGGCGGAGGCCATGACAGTTACTCCAGTGTAAGCTTCGATTCATTCGGTGGAGGCGGCGGTCTTGGAGGTCACGGCGGTGGTGACAGCTACAGCATCGGAGGTGGACATGGTGGTCACGGAGGCGGAGGAGGATTTGGAGGCGGTGACAGTTACAGTGTCGGATTTGGAGGCCATGGATCTGGAGGTGACCACGGTAGTGGCGGACACGGCGGTGGCGGACACGGCGGATTTAGCTTAGGTGACATCGGAGGAGGCGGAGGAGGTCACGGAGGACACGGGGGTGGAGGTTTTGGTGGTGACAGTTACACAAATGCCCTAGGAGCTGGCCACGGCGGCGGGCCCTACCACAAGCGAAAGTAACACACTCCTAGTATTAATAAACCAACTAAGTCATAGTCCTCAAACGCCCATGGATAGTGTATCCAGTGCTATATAGTACAACATTATTATTGTAAATAGGTTATAGATTAAGTTATTGTTGTTTGTTTAATTAAAAGTTATTTAATTTTTTAAACTTTGTTTTATTTTCTCGACTTGTAAAAATATGTAACCAACCAGTAGAGATACAACAACTACATCACGTACGAACGAACACGAACATGTAGCTACAAAAAAAATAAACAAATAAATACACACTGATCATTAAAACACTAACTAACACATTACTCAATAACAAATAAAACTGAGTTCTGTCACTTTAATAATAGAAATGCTTTCAAAACCGTACCAACACATGTATCAATGTAACATGATGTAACGACAGACGTTCAGATGATACTACATCTGTAAGCTCAGATCAGTTTTGCAGATTGACCTACAGATACATACACAGATAATAATACTTGCAGCTGACTAACGGTTGTTGAGCAATGATTACGTCACGCAGTTGTAAGCTCGAAAGGAAATGATGCATCTAAGACGCGCTCGCGATCTAAGACAACAGGAAGAATGCGCACGCAACTAGTTTCATTCTCGTGGGAAGACATTAATTACATAAACGACTATTAATTCGCATTTTGCATTTCATTCACAATGTTTTTGCATTAAACAAAATTTGCATTATCACTATAAATGTTGTTGATTAATTATGCAACATGAATGCAAACGGATGTGTATTTTTAGTATCAAAAATGTGTTTAACATGTTTCCATTTATGACATTTCATTTTTGTTCGCAATTGTAGTTTATGCTGAAGATGAACTTGTTATTATGGCTCTCAAATATTTTTAGGAATGTTGTTTCTAGACTTTTATGGATACAGGTACAATTAGTGAAATCAAGAAACTCTTATTTTGGTTCTGATATAAATAGCTTCTATGCCACGTACCTGATATAACAATTTTAGTGATCCATTCGCTAAAATTGTTAGATAGAGCTTTTCGACAACAATTAACCTCAGTTCGAAATGTTTTGAATTCGAAGGAAGGGTTGGTAATTGAAATATACACAAACTTTGAAGAATTAAAATTGTAACTAAGCCACGATAATGGATATGGTAAATGGTGTTTCCTAGGCCCTAAAACTGGTATTTAAACGATAACCTTAAAGAATCAAAGAATTGAAATCAGATTGTGTAGAGAAATCATGGAGAGATGTGAATATAGATCGGATCTTTACTTTGAAACTTAGTTACTAATTCAACAAGAAAAAAAACAGTACATTGAAATAAAATTCAATGAGTTCAAAAATAAAAATAAAATGGTCTTTGACAACAGTATCGAATTTCAAAATTGATTGGTAGTGTCTATTAACATGTTACGAAAGCGTAATCAGTGAATGCGAAAGATGAAAGACGCATGACATGGCTTTCCGCAAACGAATTAAATAGATATGTGAGTTTGCACGTCATAAAGTATGAACAATCTTGAGTACAGATCTTAGCAGTTTTGTTATGTAACTATACCCTGCTGGGTCGCCCTTCACTGGTCATGTACTTCCGCGTAAAGCTCCATACCGCTTTTACTATCTCATAAGTACTTACGTTTATATTGACATTAAGTGTTTTTGCTACAAGTATGTACACTACGTCTAGAGTAGCCTGTCAGGGAAGTGAAGTAGCCAGTGCTGGCTTATCGATGAGTTTACAAACGATGCTTCATGAATCACTCCGTAGAAAGTATGTATGTATGACAATTTGACCGATTATTACGATGCCACTTCCTTGACACAATCATTGCATTAGTTTTCATTTTATTATTCGACACGCAATTACAAATTATCGTGCCTATGCCTATAAATAAAAGAGGAACGTTAAGTATTTGTAATAAACTTGGTAGATATTTTTTTATTTCGATTTTGTTGCTTACGATCGTCAAAGGTGTATTTTACATTGCCGAAACAATGTGGCTGATAGGTGATTTTGTCAAGGAGAGGAAGAGAGCATTAAGCACTTAAAACTATCTAAGAATACGATACACACACAAAACAGAGTCTAAGAAGGCATGAGGTTTGAAGAGTTTTTACTTACCTTACCTGTTCCACGTGGCGCCTGCTCACTTTAAGTAGCAACCTATTTTTACAGTAAAATCTTGTTCTTGTGACAGACAGGCGCTTGAAAATATTAAAACGAAAAATATACCTTTTGAGAAATATGCATTTAAGAAATTTGTACCTAGTTTTATATCGAAATAAAATTCATTATATTTTACATTGTTTTATATTTAACTTCGCCTATAGATTCGTATAAAAATGCATGAATACCATCGTCGTTCGCACTAAAATAGCTTATAAATTAAGTTAGATTCTAGCTACAAAGACAGTATAAATAATAGACATATTCACAAAGTAACAATTCCAAAATGACTCACTTCATTCACGGCATTTGGTGCAGCACTCAGACCTTAGATCACTTACTTACAATACTAAACAGTTTTAATTTGTCTGACACTACTCAAATTTTGTCACCATAGTTAAGTTTTCCGGCACTTGATGCATCTGTACTGTGACTGTAATAATGTCCCGACTCGTTCGATTCTTTAGAATTTAAAGCTATAACTTTGTACCTGGACCTACGCTCCTTGCGTGGTTTTGGTACCTCAGATTCTTGGTCTTTGAGCGTGTTCCTCGGCCTGGTTTCATAAGTTGTAACTTCGGTTGTAATAGCTTCCACGCTCTGAGTGTCATAATACGTAGGTGAGGCAGCGGTAGTCGTTGCTACTGTGGCAATGAAAGGCGTTGTTGAAGGACTAGGAGCTTCAGCGTATTGGTAATTGTCATTAGACGCCTCAGCATATGAAATCTGATCTCCCTGCAAGGCCTTTGCTGCCATCGATGTGTAATATGCATGAACCGGAGAGCTTTCTGATATTGTAAAGGCAGTGGACTGCGCTGAATCTGTAGACTGCTGCTGTTCATAGCTGTTGTAGTTGTCTATTCCCGACGTTGCCGCTCCGTTAATTGACGTTGCTGAAACACCGGAATCTTCTAAGTGGTCTACTGTAGTCTGATGGTCTAGCCCACCAAAACTTATATTCTGTGTTGATATAGATTTTTTTTTACCTTTTTTAGGTTGATAATGTGTAAAAGAGGGACTATTATCTGAGGTATATAAGTTAGACGCCGATGAAGCGTATGAATCTCCGTAGTTATTCGTATAGGCATATACATTTTTATTAAATTTAGACAAGCCTACCGTTTCGGCTGAGTGTGGCTTGTAGTCATGGACGACGGTGGACGACACGGCGTACGGTGCCGGGACACTCGTCTGCTGGAGTCGGTAGTCAGACACTTGTTTTCCGTTCCCAAAATATAGTGCTGGTACTACGTTGCGAGTCTTTATGTTTCCTTTGTCTTTCACTTTGAAATGGGGAATAGGCCTGTAGTCCTCTAAACTCTGATCAGATGTCGACTCAAAAGGCGTAGGGATGGTGGGTTGCTGCATCTTATGATATGTGAAATATGGGTTATCGTAATAAGCAACGTCTGAATAATGTGTAGGTTTATGATGAGATTTCACGTACTTTTGTGAATATTTGCTTTTAAGCCCCTTGTTACCACTTAGTCCGATACGGATAGGGTGATTATTGTAAGTCAATCTCGGCGAAAATGGGAGATGGTCTTTCGTTATATCCACATCGGAGGGAATCTCTCCATGGTCATGGAATATGTGGTCGTGAGTAACTTCTCGTGGGTTGTAAGCAGCGTACTCTAAATGCGCCGGAGTCCCCATGGAGCCTACACCAGCGAAACGAGTGATTGTTTCAGGAGGTACAGCCAGTAGACTTTGAGGATTCTTAATAGGAATTAGAGGGTGTGAACCCGCAAGCCCTGATATACTGCCATCGGTGTCGTACACTAGTTTGTGAATGTGCTCCTCACTATAGGTGTGTATGTGTTCGGTATCACCGTCGATGATTTTCTCTACTCGTTGTGGCTTCCTTATTTTCCTAATAGTCCCCGACCCATCCAGATCAGCATAAAAATGTTCATGGAAGGTTGTCACAGGATGTTCCTCCTCTAATTGACCTGGTTTTCCTCGCACTACTACTCGTTTCGCCTTGACCTTTCTTGGCACTTTTTTTCTGGGCGGTTCATTTAGTTTCACAATTTTCACTCTTTTTGGGACATAGCTTGGTTGCGCAGTCGGAGCCGCTGGTGGAGCTGCGAAGGCAGTGGGTATATATGTTATATCCGTCGGTTCTGGAGGAGGAGGCGCGAGGTCGTACTCCTGCTCGTCCCACTCGTGCGGCGTGGGCCCATAGTAGCCGCGCGCACGGTACAGCGGCAACAGCTTGGAGGCTGCGGGCGAGACGCCGGGCATCCGCATCGGTGACTCGTCGTACACCTCCACTGAGTTGAGAGGCAGCACGTTGGCTACGGTAGGCATCGCGACGTTGCTCGGTACTGCCACCGCACCTTCAGCGCTCGGCATGAAAGCCGGTGCATACTGTGATGACGCTGGGTGTTGAGTTATGTAGATCTTCTTGTGGTGGTGAATATGTTTCACCTTTTGTGGTAGATGTATGCGGATCTTTTTCCTGTAACAAGAAAAAAAAATAGTGCTGGTATTCTGTGGTGAGGTAATCGATCGCATGCATGTCGAGCGGTGGATTTTTTCTGTTTGTTGTTCCGTCTAGTGCAGTGTCAATGGCATGACGCGTGACTCGGTAGCGCGCGGCTTTCGCTGTCGGATCGGTGGCGGTCGCGACGTCGTCGCCACGCTACCTATCCGCACTTCGTTACACTCGACATACGACTCACAATTCGACTAGTGTCATCATATTTTCGTAACGTGTAACGTACAACAACGTGAGGATTGACTTGCACTTTCTAATAGGCAGACGGTTATTATGTGCCCGGTTGGGTTGATTCAACGTCCAAGCAATTATCGCTAAGCGGTGAAACATAACAATTTGAGCACA